ACATACAGATAGCAAGTGAAGTGGTCCAATAACACCCCAGATAAAGGACAAACTTGATGAGCTCTAAATGCAATAAGACGGAACGTTATCACATCCCGCAAGGGGAACGTGAACACAGGAGGTTGACATTTAGTCATCCTCCCAGCACACATAGATGTCCTTAACAAAAAATGTGCATGCGCACCAGTGGGCTTAACAATTAATTGGACATAGACGGTCCTCTATATTAGGATTGTAGACTGGAGAACACAAACAGAGACGTTATCTCAGCACATTTTCCGTGACTCTCCGCTAGACCTCATAAATATTGCCAACATTCCGGCATGTGATTAATATTTGTTTTAATTTTCACTGTGACTCAAAGTTAACACAGGTCAATCAATATTTAATGTTTTGGTGAATATTCGTAATTGCATTGAGCGTAATTGGTTAGCATTGTGGCCTAGATTTCTTATCCCACAGTGAGGCTATAAACATGAAAGCTTTTATTTAGAGTATGGCCTTGGTGAAAAAGTTTCTTTGTAGACTGGTAAAGTTACTCAACTGCATTAAAGGTGCGAAAGACAAATCTCAGACTTTCTGAGACTTTACACAAAAGCTATACAAAACATGCATTATCATATTAGTCTGCCAATTGTATGACATGGCTGGTTACATGATCTGAAAATGGCGGAAAAAGTGTTTTCCACAAGAACGACATGTGAGTGTACACCATTTTAATCATATTTAGGTCACAGTTTATTACAATAATCATTTGTTTATATATTACAAATGAACATAAATGAACAATAACCTACTTTAACAAATGCTAAAAAATTGTTGTTAGTTCATAATACCTGATGCTTAATGTTAACCAATCAAACATTTCTCAAAAAATACTTAAAATGTTTATTTACAAACACTTAAAATATTTTTTTTCTAAAACTTTAATTAGAATAAAAATATAAAATATAAATAATAATCTTTTTAAGCATACTGCAAGATTTTTAAAAGTGCATTGCAAGAAAAAACATCTCAATTATTGAAAATATTGTGCCAAATTAAACTGAACAATTCTGCTATAGAATGTACACATGTACAGTTTATTTCTGTTTTTTAAGTTTGACATCTGGAAGTGACATGCTCTCTCTCTCTCTCTCTCTCTGTGTGTGTATATATATATATATATATATTTATTTAAATCATGACAACTCTCGGAACATTTCAGCATGGTGATGGATATGACAATGCTAATGTATTTGGTCTTGGCGGAACAGATCTGCTATGCTGCTGCCGAATTGCTGCTGCTGTTGGTTATTGCTGTAGTTGTAGATTATTGCTGCTGCTGCAAGCAAGTACAGGAACTTGCTACTGCCAATGCATATGGCGATACGGTGCCATGAGTATTTAAGACATACTGCTGCTGCACAAATAGCATATAAAATAACCCCGTAGCAGATCTATACAGGTGGAGCTGGGGAAGGTGAAGGGTTTCAGAGAAACTCTGAAAGCGCGCTGCAGGAATCTCAAGTGAATGCTAGCCAGCCATATAAATGCAAGGCAGTAAGTTCATTGGCTGCATATGCAGCATGAACCAATCAGCTTGTGCCAAGTCGTTTAACTCTCTGAATATCATCAGTTACGCTAACACTCAGCCTGCGCCATCTAGAGTTTCATGACTGAACTATATATATATCCTAGAGGAAATATTCTTAGGAAGTTGTTGGAAGATTTAATGCTCAAAAGAACGTAAGGAGATAAACCTGCACAAGTTTCTGTGGCATCTTACACACTTCTCTATCCCAAGGCACTTTTTCCCCAGAGTGTATTTGGTTCATTCTCACGAACTGCATCACAAATAAGCTGCTTTTCCCTCCATATAGCCGAGAGGAGAATTTATTCTTTGGCTATCCAGAGCAGTCCTGCCCAACTTTTAAACAGTGATGAAATGTACTTGACACCAGGGGCACACTTGGAAGATGAGCGAAGTTTACAGCCTTCCTGCAAGTTATTTTTCCCCTGCTTTTTCTTTTTCTTTTTTATCCCTCTCCAAGGTCAGACAAATGGGTTTACCGATGTTTACCGATGTTTACTCCTATATGATTTCGAACGAGAATTTCACTGAGAATTTTTATGAACTCCAGAGACATGACTTAATGCCAAATCTGTGTGACGTCAGAGTTTGGTTATGTGTAAAATCACATACTCACATAACTGAATAACCATTGTCCTGCTCAGACCTGATCTAAACATTTCTTCATCAAACATGGTAACACATATCAAACGGTGATTCATATCCTTGGGAGCTTGTTTGTTTGATGGTTTATGCCACAGTTATGAGCAGATATCTAAATATCGTCATACTTTTAAAATATTCAACGGCCTGAACTGTGAGGTTAGAACCTGAACTCTTCTACTCTCATCATGCTAATGCATTACCTCCATATCAAAGCTGTCTGCTCACAAAACCTCAGCTTGGAGAGTTGGGAACGCCAGGACTGCTGCGAATAAACTTGTTAAAACAAAACCAGGGGTATGCCAGGACAAGGTTCCTGTATTTCAGGACCCTTCTGAAGACAAGTAACCCAATTGCCAAGCAAAATGAAAAATCTGCTGCAAAATAAAATAAATTATTTACAGGATCTTCAACTCACCGACAGAGACTGAGAGGAGGGGCGGCAGCTCTCGTCCATGCTGATAGATGGATGGTGTTATGCGTATAGTCTTGTTGTGGTTATACATGTATGATATATTGAGCAGAGGAGGAGATCTGGCCACCATTCAGCATCACATTAAGCCAAGTTTTATTGAAGATGACTCAGCACTCCGCTAAAATATCTCACGATGCATTAATGTGTTCATAAATAAATATGCTGAAGAGTAGATTATTAATAAATACTACAATCTTAGGTGAGATGGTTAAAACACACACACACACATATATATATATATATATATATATTATCAATAACTAGATTTTACTTAAAAAAAAAGTTAATAGTGCTTTCTCACAACTACTACAAAGCTGCTGCTGGGTGGTTGCCAGACAGTTGCTATGTGGCAGCTAAGGTATTCTGATTGGCCGTTAGGAAGAATGCTGTTTTTGTAACATGGGAAATATGATTTTCAAAAGACAATTTGCTATCTAATATAACACCCAGATTTTTGACTGTAGAGGAAGTAACAGTACACCCGTCTAGTTGCAAATTGTAATCCAAGAGATTCTGTAGTCATTTATAGTATGGGAAAATAAATTAATACTTTATTAATTTATTAATACTTTATTTAATAATTTATTTAGCAATGATGCATTAAACTGATCAAAAGTGAAATTCATATTGCTACAAAATATTTCAATTTCAAACAAATGCTGATCTTTTGAACTTTCTATTAATAAAAAAAAAAAAATCCTGAGAAGATTCACCGTTCTCACAAAATTATTAAGCAGCACATCTTTATAGCACTGATAATAATAATAAATATTTCTTGAGCATCAACTCAGCATATTAGAATGACTCTCAAGGATCATGTGACACTGAAGACTGGAGTAATGAATGCTACAAATTCAGCTTTGGTATCACAGTAATAAATTGCATTTTACAGTATACAGTATTAGGAAATTATGTTCTTTTAAATTGTAATAACATTTCATAATATTACAGCTTTTACTGTATTTTAGATCAAATAAATGAAGCCTTGGTGAACATAAGAGACTTCAAAAAACATTTAAAAGTTATGAATGGTTGTTTACATGAAGAAATTTAATAAAAATGTTTAGCAATGCACCACTAATTAAAAATCAACAACTAGTATTTAGCTTAGCTTATTTAAGGAATTTGAACCCGAAAGGGATTTTAAAATGACAAAAGATTCTTCAAAAAAATATTGTCAGTATTGTAAATGAAACAATTATAAACAAAAGAGCAGGGTTCCGGGAGTTAAGTGTGAGAAACTGCAATAACAGGCTCTGTGCGCCTTGAGCAGTTCATGATGTTGAGCCATCTTAAGTGGATTACAGTTGACTTAGCACTCCACCTTCACAGCAGGACGTCTAGCTCCGCTTTACAAGCCTCAAGAAGCCTAGCTGTTCACTTGTACTATAATGCACCAGCTCCTGTTAATCCAAGAACACTGGCCCCGTTTTGTCATTGCTAGCCATTTTCTGCTAATATGATAATGAGGCTTTAAACACATTGGGTGCAGAGTTCACCACAGCTTAAACTGCCGTTCAATGGTGGAGCAAGCTTTTCTGTGGTTCTGGTTCAAGGTTTGTGTTCATGCTGCAATTAAATGAGGGAAAATTAACTACAGGGGCCTGTAACAGGGAATATGACAAGGCAAGAGAGCTTTTAATTACTTTATAGTATATAAGTATATGTGTTTTTTTTTTTGCAATTTAATGCATAAAATATCCCTTTTATTTGAATACATCACTATTAGTTTCTCTGATGACAGCAACAAAGCATTGGGGAGGTTTTCCACCCTTTTTATCCAATCAGAAACCATTTTCTGCTTTTTAAGTATTCAAGTTGGCTGACGGGTCTTTGGAGTGCAGAGTTTCAGAGAGAAGGTGTGTATTCATCCTATATTCTAAATGCAACTGACTGTCCTTTTTGTGAATGATCCATGCATATGATTGATTAATTCACTGATTATTATTATTTTTTTACATTTTTTTTTAGCCCTTGTAATCTTTAATCAGAATATTATTACCCCACCCCCCTTTTTTAACCTCTTGCTGCAAGTTCGCATTTAGATTTGCTTTCACACTGAAAACATTTAAAATTTGGTATAGAAACTATTTTCACCCAGAAACTGCTAGTAAATTTCACAATTACAAAGAATTTCTTGTAATCTTTTACAAAGAAACGGCAAGTAACATTGAAATAAACATGCAATTTTGAAGTAGAAAGACTGAAACAGCATTTCTAGTATAAATTGTACTCCGATAATCTTTGTTTTATTTGAAAAATAATTTTTACAGTGCATCAAATCAACGACCAATAAACTGAACAAAGTCCTCACCCTACATTTTTTTCTTTTTCAATAATCCATTTAACTTGGCGATAATCACAAGTCACAGAAATACAGTAAGTAATCTATTTTTCTGCAAAAACATACTTACAGCAAGCCTACACAGGTTGTGTGGCTTAGTTCTACTCACCGTCTTTGAATTGTCACTGAGATGAGACGCCATTCACCTTGTTTCAGTCAGGCTTTTTTGTTCTTTATCTATGTAGGCGATATGAGTGAAGAGCAGCAGTATTCTTCGTCAGAGCAAATGTGTGAAGGTGCAGTACGGTGTCAATCAAATTCCGCCCTCCTTGATAAAACCCGGCATGGAGGTCAAGGTGACAACATTGCCAAGCTCTTTTTTACATTACATTTGCTTTCACCGGATTAGATACCCACTCAAAATATGCAAATTCAGAGCTGTCAGCTCAAGAAGATCTACAGCACTGAAAAAAAAAAAAACAGTGTATCAATGAGATGAAGTTGATGTAAAATGCATCATCTGCATTTGTTCCAATTGTTCACTCTTTAAAGAAACAGTTCGCAAAAATAAACTTCTGTCATGATTTACTTACCCTCATGATGATCCAAACCTCTATGTGCCTATTTTTCTGTGGAACACAAGAGGAGAACACATAATTTGTGGTTTTGGAATGACATGATTGAATGACAAAATTTCATTTTTCTGCTCAAGAGCACTTCTGATTCCCAAAGAACTTCAGAAATAGAGCTGTAGTTTGTCATGTTTGTTCATAAGTCACTGTTATTGCGTCCTCTGTTGTCCTACGGAAGAGGCCTTCTTACAGGTGAGTGAGTCAGAACCATATGTCATCTTCTGCCTAGAGACGAGAAAGACTTCTGGATCAAACATGATATTTCTCCAATAATGCTGACCTCCCTGCTCCTTTATGAGTCAGTCAGGGCAATTTGCCATCATGCCAGCTTTAAAAAACAAAAACAAAAAAAAACATGCACTTTAAAAGATAAAAAAAAATGATTCCTTTGCTGACCTCCCTGCTCCTTTATGAGTCAGTCAGGGCAATTTGCCATCATGCCAGCTTTAAAAACAACAAAAAAAAAAACATGCACTTTAAAAGATAAAAAAAAAAGATTCCTTCTAGGGGACACTGGACAAGATGTTACTGGAAAGAGATTTGGAGGATTAATACTGAGTCGATTCTCTAAGTGTGTGACTGACTTTCGGAAGACTGAAAGATATTTTTGTTTGGTCTGCGGATAAGAATCAGTCTGTACTTCCATTACCTGTGTCACCGCAGTCAGTGTTTGTATATTTCTTGGGGAAGCTACTTTCAAACTTTTGCAAGTTACTCAATTTTCTTTTTTAAAGTAGCTATATAAAGTGAAATATGTAATATATTCCATTTAAATTGTTTCCCCTCAACTTAATGTGCAGAGACATCTGTAAATAAAATATACTGTGGCACTATAAAACTTTCCACTGTTTCTTTGAGTATTCCAACTCAACCAATGGAGTGGGTTTGTGGGCGGGGCCATCTATCGAACCAATGGTAGACAGCAGAGTGCTCAGGAAACTTAAAAAAAAAAAAACATTATTTTTACAATTCTGCTCGTCACCCGCCGTGACGTCTCGCCCAGCTGTTAGTCTGATTACACACGAGATTCAGAGCCCGTCACGCTGAACGGCGTTCCCCTAGCGTTTTCGACGCAGCTCGAGTTCCTGAAGAGGAACATTATTTTTACAATTCTGCTTGGTGTCATACTGGCACAGATATTACAGGACCTAATGTTCTAAAATGACGAACAGCAGCATTTAACTAAACATTTCACAACAGAAAAGTAAAATAACTAAAATAACTTTAGCATTTATCTAGGATCTCTTAAAGGTAGCTCATTTCAGTTTTCAAAACAGTGTAGCTTGACAGTGTAAATTACTGTCATGGTACTGAAAATGGAGTACAGTTAGTAAATCAATTCATGTCAATTTTATTTATATAGAGTTTTTTACAATACACATTGTTTACAAAATACAAAACAAAATATTTTAATATCTTCATGCTTTATAGTCGCATTCAGCAGATTAGAGCTGGTCGATAATATAGTTTACATTTTGCAACGATATAAACAATCATGCAGTTGAGATTTGCTATAGCATATATATCGCTTTATGTGAGTATACTGTATGGATAAATTTAAATATTTGAATATTCCATTTTGTGACAATATAAACAATCCAGCATTTGAGATCTGCTATAGTATATATCGCTTACATGAGGGTATTGTATATATGCTGTTGGATGTACTATATATACAATTTTAAATATATCACTGGGCAATACTTGCAGTCAGATTTCTAGCCATTGTAGCCATTACCACCATTGTATTCCTACAAACATAGCTACGTCCTTCTATTATAAGAGTCGTCTCACTGTGCTGATATACGTGGAACCCCAATTACCTTTGAGTGACAATCAACAGAAAATACCTCATATGCTAAATGGCGAATGAACACAAGTATATCGCACTTCCATTTGCCAGGTCTTAGTTACGTTGCTGTTTATTCTCTTCTGCAAATTACGCCAACGAGAAGGCCATTAATTGCAAGGGGGTGAGATCAATTGTTAGATTGTTATTTCATCCACTAGCTTGATGAAAGGCGAGGGAGGGGAATGAGAAGGTGCGGGCCCGGGCTACTCAGAGAGCGAGGATGACACCGCTGACTATAACGAGTTGTGTCTTTCCCATTAATCAATGCCTTCCATGCAATTTGCCATCTGTGAATTGGGACTGACCCATCTCGGGGGTCACTGGCCAATTTTCCGCAGCGGTCGGTCTGAAATCCCTGCACATGCCAAGTGTTGCTGGTGAGTGATTCAATCTTCCCTTAAATGGCTGTAAGCATTGACACTCAGAAGTTTTTACCTCCCACACCTGAAACTTTTCAAGGCATGAATAACGTTTCTGCATTTGACATTTGATATTACTGTCGAATTGATAGAGTGCTACACTACTCTACAGGTACTACAAAACCTTCTAATGTGCATTTGCAATTTGTAATATATAAAAATCCTCATCCGTTCTTTAAAATTAGCTTTGACTGCATCCATTTGTCTCTGTCATAAACTAGAATAATAATTTGACTCAATAACAGTTCTCTTTGGCATCTGTCAGGCTTCGGACTTAAAGCTGAAGTGTGTAAATTTTTTAAATGTTAATATACTTTCTCCATTCCCAGTTAAACTTTATTCAATCATAAATAAGCCAACACTTTATGTAGGTTGATTTCCTTCACAAAAAAAGTGTAAACACTGTGGCCCTGTGGTGCTATCAAAACATTATACTGTTTGTTTAAACAATCCGACCTGCTCAGCATAGCAACATTTGCTCAACCAATGGAGTGAGTTTAGGGTGGAGTTAAACGTTTAGCCTGACCAACGGCAGATGGAGGGAGTGTTAAAGTGGCACGAGTGGCATAAAAACTACACTAACCCCTTTTTAAGATGTATTGTGGAGTGAAATATTCACTTCTCAAAACAAATGAGTGGTTGTTTCAGTGGGGAAAACACACACAGAAGTGCACACATCTAGCTATCACCTCACCAACTGGCAAATCACCCATAATAGCTCATCTCAAGAGGGTCAAGCACCATGCCGGGCCTCCCAGCATTTTACTCTTCCTATAACAGTGCCAACACTGCTAACGGGAGAAGAGAAGTGGACATCCCTAGACGCCGTCCCCCCCCCGTTTGCTTCTCGTCCATGATGAAAGAACTTCTTGCTTGTTACCACTACCGTAATTGGTTTCAGTGACGAGCTGCACCATGGTGGTAATTGTATTTTATGATCATTGAATTTCATTTAAGTATCTAATTGAAACACGGTGCCCTGGTGTCAGAGGGAAGCTAATTAAAAGGAGGCGCCCCAAACAATCTGCTTCCAATGGAGTGGGAATTGAATAATTAATTAAATACACAACTTCGCCAAAAAGGTGGATTTACTCAGCGAGAACATAACATGATGGTTGTTATAGGTCGTTTTAAAAGGAAGGGTCAGTGACCCCTCAGCCAAAATGATATATATGACCAAATTATTATAAAAAAAAAAAGAAAAAAAGTGAAAAAAATGAAATAAAAAAGTGACATGTGGCCAAGTATGGTGACCCATACTTGGAATTAGTGCTCTGCATTTATCCCATCCAAAGTGCACACACACACAGCAGTGAACACACACCCGGAGCAGTGGGCAGCGATTTTTTTGCTGCGGTTACGAGTCTGACTCTCTAACCATTAGGCCACGACTTCCCCTAATTATATCTTTCCAATGTGTTTGTTTCACCGTTACATACAAGTCCACTATAAAACTTATAGTAAATATCAACTTACCTTTTATGGTGCTCACAGAGGACAGGCATTATTTTAGCTCACCAATAGAACGCAATTCTTCTTGTGATTCCTCAAATCACAAATTTCCCCAGCCTAATAAATAAAAAATAAATAAATAAAATAAAATAAAACAAAATAAAATAAAATAATAAAAGATGCACAACTTACACTCTTTGCTACGAAATTCCACAAGCAGCCCTTATTCATTCACTGACTCTGGTTTAATGCAAAAAAAATTGTGCCTCAGGGGTTTGAAGTAACACGTTAATTTACTTGTAAGGGATTCCTATCCTGCCCACATCCACCAAAAGGAGGAAACCAAAAGGATATTGCAGTTTTGCAAGAAAAAGGTGAGCGTTGGGGTTATGGAATGGCGGCAAAATTACTTAGCCAAGAGTTCATGAGAGGAAAATATAATTATAAACCTAAAGTCCAAATTTCTCCCTCACCTCTTAAGCTTACTGAGCCCAAAAGACACTTGAGGGTGAATCAAATTTTTTGTCAAAACACCCCATTCCGTCTTGTTCCTCATCCCTCTAGAACAAATCAATGAGATTCATTAGGTTCAAATCCATCGGGATTAGTTGTTGCACAGTCACCAAGATAAGGAGGATAAGGAGGAAATGGAGAGAGGAAGAGAGAGCAAGTGAATGAGGGAGGAGGAGAGGCACAAAAACAGATTAATGGTGCTCCATCATTGCAGCTGAACTAAAGATAGTGTGCAGCCAAACAATTTTGCTGCAACAAACGTTACAGTATTGTACTGTATTCAATAAGAGCTTCTGCGCATTGATTTGGCTGTCTAACCATTCGTGATGACTGGCTTTATGTCTCATTGTTTTAGAGCCCATAAGCTCTCCTTATCTGGCCAACATGATGGTGCAGGCTGTTCTCAAAGTCATTGGACAATGTGCTGCCTGTCAGCCTCTTTGCACCTTCATAAACTCATGTTTGCTTGTCTAAAAATTGGCCTTTCAAACGGACATGTGTGTTTACATAATAATGGGAACAATGCTAAGAAATAAAAATAAATGCATTATGAAAAAGTTCAATTTGATAAAGCACCATGATTTATAAAACTGACATAAAAAA